TTACCTGTCCCCCCGATATCCCCTGATTACCTAAAAATAGCTAATTTCATCCCCTATGAGAACCATTAGCACAAGCGAACGCTGTGTGAACGACAAATGAAAGGAAAAAGAGAAATTATTGGAGTGGTGAGTACAAGACAAAAAGAAAAATTTTCGCTGCATAAAAAATGAAATCGTAAGCATTTTTAGATGCTTCTTGCTTGAATCAATTCAAATTGTTTAAGTGGACTGACTCAAGCGTTTTTTTAATTGTATGACTGACAAGCGAGAGAAAAATTCGCGACAATTGAATGTGTTCGTTGTGACTGTAGAGAAAGCATCGTTTTGTCTATGAAATGGGAGGTTTTATGATGTATCCACATCCAAGAAGTGGAACAAGTACGAAGAAAGACAACTTTATTCATTGATTATAACTATTGTTGAAAGTGCCACTGGATGTTTTTGGAGACAATGAAATGCATGAGCGCAGACAGATAAGTGAACACATATACTTACTTAGCAGTAAAGTGTCTTAACCAGTGTGCGACTTTCCATCGTGGTGTTTGCATATATTCATTCCACCATCTACTTCGATAATGGTTCGATGAACCGGTTGGTGGTGTGCACAGATAGAAGGGGTAATTGAGCAATCGAGTTTTGAGTTAGTAACAGGATAATGTTATTCGAGTTGGTGTGATTAATTCGGAAACATTATTTGTTCGTTGGTATTGTGCACTGATGTGATGATATGATGGTGAGCGGAGAGTGGGTTGTGGTAGAGGGAAAGGGAAGTGCAAATGAGAGTGGAATGAATTAAGCGTTTGTATAGCAAGGTATGTGTAGAACGTATACAGCATATTCATGCGTTCATTACGATTCGTGTTGTATTCATTCATGAATTGATCTGTGAATGTTTCACTGACTCAATATACAGCAGGCAAAGGCGGAGCAAACTCTCAAAATGGAGCCAATCGTTGATGGAATAACAACGATTTTGCGAGTTCGTGCATGATATGTTTGGGCTTGTTGTTCGTTTTTGATTGTCTTCACAATACAATTCATCATGGTCGTGATAAAGTGTACGAACGACTTGAATTAATGAGCCAGGGGCATAAGATAAGTGGAGGAGAAGGAGGACGAGACAGCAATCATTCAGACTCGAACGAATCGATTTTATTTGAGTGCTGTGTTAACTGTGCTGTACGAATTGTTTGTTGATTTATTTTATACGCGCTGAAATTTATTTGTCGCATATTATCCAGTATTTTATTCCGATGACAGCATCATTACCTCTGCTCTGCTTTACTCGATTAAGTGTGGAACACTGATGATAATGAAACATGAAAACGTTTGAACTTTAATTCGGTTCTCCTCTTCGAGGTTTTCCACCTCCCATCATCGGTCGGCAACATGCACAACTCCTCACTCGATTCATTTTCCAGTCTCAATTTTTTAAAAGCAACTTTTTTCCCTTGGCTGAAAAGTTGAAATGCTTTAATATCCCGGGTGAATAATCGAGTTTATCTTATTACTCATATTACGAGTTAAGAAAATAATCGTTTTATCTATTCATCCATGAATTTACATTCTTTCGTTTCATGTCCATTCCTTCGCGGTTCATCCAATTTTGCCTTCTTCCTTCCATCGCCAAGGAGCGTAATGCACGGATATAACCATATTGTCAGTTCTGTCACCAACTCTTTATCACATCTTTTCATCAATTATGAATACTTCCGTTACGTTTATGCATTCGGGCAACAAATGTACGTGCCGACATGCAAAAGACAGCTTATATATGCGGCCGACAGCGTATCAGTTCGCAGCGTTCAGTATACCTTATCATTTGCGATCATAATGATCAACCATTCCGAATTGACCGATCAGCACCTTTAAAGACTCATAAAACTGTTGACTTGAAATCCCGTTAAACTCATCTAATCTTATTATAATTGTGTCGTGATGACCTCATCTTGCAAACATTGATATTTCCTTCAGTCAGATTCATGATAATTTGCTGCCGTTTCGATGCAGCCGAGATTAACCTGCTAATTCATTGATTCTTCTGCTATTTGTATTACGCGGGTAATGTTTTCTTCTGTGATAATAAATATAATTATTTATTATCACTGTCGAATCTGAACAGTAAGGTATTGTTGCTGACAAAATATTATTTGCGCAGTTAGAGAAATATCTCTGATTGTGCAGGTAATATGTTGTCAACAATACTGCCTTACTGTTTTGATTCACCTATCACCCGCCATGCGCGTTATAAATGAGGAAAGCTTTCGACAATTGTAGAGTCTAATTGATGCATTCATCGAGGTTTTATTCAACATTCTTGCGAAGACTATCTAAGGGCATCTATTATTTGGTGGAATAATCTTAAATTTATGTTGGTCCCTCATCTCGAACAAGCAATCTGCAGACCGCTATGCTCTGGCGCATGCCAACAACTTCAGCAAACAAGTAATATTTCCATTACTGACGCAGTAACTACCAATCTAAGCCATTCCTGATATTGTGGGAGATGTTAACTGGCAATCAGAGGGAAATATACATGTAGATGCTTTCCAGTTAGATGGGTAGTTTAACGTTGCATCGAAAAGATGTACAAGGAGTGAAAGGGAGGAAAGGAGAGGAAGGGAAGGGAAAGGAAAATGGTTGAGGAAAAGAGAGCTATTGCAAGAGATAACGGGTCAGAAGAGAGAAACAACTGGCTGCTTGCTCAGCTAACAGTTAGCTGAAGTAACTACAATATCTCTGGCTAATATCGACGCTGATCCATCCTTGCGAGGGCTTACGTCTCTTGCTTTAATGCTGTTGTCGAGCTGCGATTGTTGTGTGCATCATATATGATGAATTGACGAGCAACCCAAGCGTAGATGTGAACTGCAAAACGATAACATCTGATCACTCATGGTTCACCAGCCAAGTCGAATCGATCCAAAAGCGGTGTAGTCGAACTATAGCTGTTGCAGCCTCAGCGAGTTAGCTGGCCAGTTGCATCTATGCGATACATTCGCTACTGAACGTTTAACGTATTGATATCGATCTGGAACGAAAATAGTGCTAGGCATTAAGCATAGAATAATCACACAGGCATACTATAATAAGCTCATGCTATCCGCTTGCAAAGCAGTGAACTGCCTCTATGGAGTAGCAATTTATATTCAGCGATGGATATGCTTTGAGATTGTTATTGTTATTTGTTTGTTGCTTTTTCGAAGCATTCTGTTTAATTCACTAGATCATTCTAAACGGGAAGTGTGCGTATCAGCCATACGATAAGACCACTATAACGATAGCAGATGTATCTAACCGCAGCATAAGATATACTAGCACTAAATAACTGCGAAATGTGTTTCTCTTTGTGGAATGAACTCGATGAGTTTAGTTCATTATCACTTGTGTGCTGTTCTCCTAAACTGAGGAACAACAGCAGTGACTAGTGACGATTGTCAAGAACTGACGTTATATTTTAGTAATAACTCTTTTCGATGATGCGACTAGCCCGGAAAAAGTGGATAGCTTGTTACTTGCGAAAAGGATTTCTTCGGTTGCTCATTCTAATTTGTTTCTGTTTCCATGCATTTCACCAAGTGTCATGTCCATTCACTGGACATTATCTCGATAACTGCTGCTGCTACTGTCTATTGTGAACTATGAATTGATGTTTAGATATGTGATAGATAAGTATTTCTGAGTGCGTATTGCTTATTTAATTAGTCATCTGTTTGTTCGCTTATTTATTCATTTCATTCCATTGCACAATTTCACATTGATTAGCTTGTAATGACGGTTTCTTGAGACACTCTCATATAAAACGTTCCGTTTTCTTTTGGATTTGCCATTTCAAGCGCCAGTTGTTTTTTTTTTTATCCTGAGCTTCTGTTGGATTTGTTTTGTGAATTCCAATGTATCATGTATCATCAACGTGATGAATGAGTATTAACTGATGATTTATATTTGCCATATATCTTCATCACGTATTGTTTATCCGCGCAGAAAGTAATGGTATGTGCAGTTGACATCAGTGTGTCAGTTATGTGATGATAAATGTCTCTTATGTGATCTATTTTATTCGAGATATCGAGGATCTTGATGAGCCATTCGGTTAATTGCAGTTAATTGCAGGCAGGTAGGCAGGCAGGTGCAAGATAGTATCATACAACAGCAGATGACCGATACCGCAGCAGAGGGTATCGTGGTCGGTTCGGCTCAAGTAGCGGGGCTGAATCCGAGCCAGCAACCGCATTCAATCGCCGCTGATAGTAGTCATCACTCGAATAAAGTAAGATCGAAAGACTAGACATTCCAGAGCCTTTAATTTGATCACATGAAACACAGCTATTCCTTCCTTTCAGCTACACTTTATTTATAAGTGTGGCTGAAAGGAAGGAATAGTTCTATTATTATTCCTTGCTGAAAGGAAGGAATAATAATAGGAATAGTTCTTACTTTCTTCAGTTCTTTTCGCCCATCCATCCACAGTATTTCCTTGAAAGGAATTTTACTCACCTGCGGATTTTTAAAGTAAACCTTTCATTTGATTAACGTTTGTAATGAAAACGTTTACTACTCAGACATTCTTACACTTATTTGCTCAATTGAGTAGTAAACATTTCGAAGTACAGATGCCATATAGAAGTAAATAATCCGGAAAGAGATGCAAAGGACAAGCGTTAGCTTTGCATTTATTAGTTGTGCATCTAACTAATTCAGTTTGGCTCTACTCAGCACAATCAGTCCCAAAAAACCCATCGCTACGCTCGATTTTTGCTACATTCACTTCTTCTTCTCGTTCCATATATAAGTATACAAGCCAAAAGACAGACTATGCATCACAGCGCTTGCTTTAACAAGCTGTGAGCTATATCAAGTTATAAGCTATATCCATACCCTACCCATATTCACTCAGTCAAGCAGACTTCTCTTTCTATATAGAACAACAACACAACACATCCCAAGCACATAGATTCTTCATTCGAGTTCATTCACTGCTAAAAGACGTCAGTGCTAGAATGGCTTCGGGTGATGAAAAGCCGCTAGTCCGACCGTCATCGATAGCTTTACAGGGCGAAAGTAGTGCGAGTTTTTTGAGAGCTGCTCGTGCGGGCAATCTCGAGCGTGTTCTTGAACTGTTACGTTCTGGAACAGACATCAACACTTGCAATGCGAATGGCCTGAATGCATTGCATCTGGCTTCGAAAGAGGGTCATCACGAAGTGGTTCGTGAACTACTTAAGCGAAAGGCACTTGTCGATGCTGCTACTAAGGTCGTTTCTATTGTTCAATCCTTTTATCATTTCAAATATGTAACTCACATTTTTACACTTACTGATTACGGTGAATCTATTCAATGCTACAGTTTATCCGCTAATTTAGAATCCGTCCATTTTTGTGCATACGATGTGAGGGAATTCTTGTGGAACCACCAAAAATTACTCAAAGATGAATGATGTAAATAAATTGAGAGTGCATTATAATGTAAATCATGTTTCTTGGAATTTCTCTCTCTGACATTTGAAGTTCATTTGCTCTTAGAAGGCTCCTTCCTAAAGAAAACTTAGGATTTTAAAGTGAACTCTCCCGACATGTCGACGAAATCGACAGCTCATACTGAACGTCCAGTTTCTTTTTCATTAATTATCAGTTGTGTAGCATATTCGAAAGCACCTTATGGCCATAACTGAATGTTCCAGTCAGTAATCTCGATCGATGAATTCTTAATTGTGAATATAACCAATGAGTTATGAGCTAAAATGAGAGCATTCGTGTTGTTTCTTGACTTATCAGCAATCAAGTTTTGTGTAAATAATACAAAAATAATCGTCGAGCATTATTTACGTTCCGATTTCTTTTTATTCGGACGAATGATTACTTACGATTCCTCGAAAATTCGCTGGAACATGCTATAAACACTGCAGTTGCAAATTTCAATTTATTTTTTTTGGAAATATCAATAAGGCAACCTTTGACCATCGTTCAGTGGTGACCGAAGTTCGGTTTTACCATTCTCTTGATAAATCGCATGCTTTTGTAACTATCTCTGAAACTCCTCCGTGTAAATAACTGATCTGATTTCAAACATAACGAAATCACCTACCAGGAAATAGAGGATTGAAATATACCCTAATCATTGTTTCCAATGCAAAATTCGAATGCTAATGTCCTCAACTCATCAGTAATTTAATTAAGTAGCGATGAGGAAGCTTTGATAAGCATTGCAGTTTACCAACTGTCCCATCATAAATCAATACGATTGCTCGAACTAACTGAAAATTTCAGAAAGGAAACACTGCATTGCATATTGCATCATTGGCTGGTCAAGAACTCATCGTGACCATATTGGTTGAGAATAATGCGAACGTTAACGTGCAGTCATTGAATGGCTTCACGCCGCTTTATATGGCAGCACAAGAAAATCATGAATCTGTTGTGAGATATCTGTTGGCGCATGGTGCTAATCAAGCACTTGCTACTGAGGTCAGTTGGACAGTATGCAATCACTTTTTAATATGACATAGAGAGGAAAGAATCAGAACGTTAAGGATGTTATGAATATATGGATGCTCGTTTAAGGATGGCTTCACACCATTAGCTGTTGCACTTCAACAGGGTCATGATCGTGTTGTGGCGTTGTTACTGGAGAATGATACACGTGGTAAGGTCAGATTACCAGCACTGCACATTGCGGCTAAAAAGGATGACACTAAAGCCGCCACACTTCTCCTGCAGGTAAAGTTTCTTTGTTTTCCCATATGCACTCTTATCCACTCTGATGGTCCATTCATTCAAAGTCGGTAGTCTTATGCCTTTGAGATGCAATGGTCATCACATTGTCAAATGCATTTTCCTAGAATTCAGTGATGTTCAATCACTAAAAACATCCTGTACGTCGTAGTCTTGCTCACATTCTTAAGTTCAGCTTCAATGAGCATATTTTATCCTGTTTTGGATACATGCTGATCACCGACACCTACCAAAAGTATGTCCTCTATTCATAGGACATTTTTTTCAAGATTGGGACTGAAACGTTGAACATGGAAAACTGTTTTGCGATGCTAATTTTTGATTCGAATGCCGTCAAATAGCGTCCAGTGAATCCGCATTGTGTAAGAGTATTATCGAAAAAAAGCGATGGTGCTACTAGCTGTTGAGTGATAGTAATTGGTGGTATCATGCATGTAGTATTGAGTTATGATGTTGAGCATATCTGTATTTGCACTTAGGTTTTTGTGAGCATGAACATGTACAGTAGATATGACATAAAGCTAACAAACTCTAGACTGGAATCGGAACAGGAGCGTTTGGCTAAGAGTAAGTGAGTGAAGAAAGACGATATGATGAATGACTGATTGCAAAGAGAATTGCAGTAGATTGTTGTGCTAATTAGTGCATTCAGCAGTAGACATTATCTCTTAAGAGAAAGTATTGTAATAGCCGATAGTACTGATAAGTGAATATATTTATCGCAGTGCATTTCAGAATGAACACAACGCTGATGTGACCTCAAAGAGTGGCTTTACACCGTTACACATTGCTGCGCATTACGGCAATGAGAATGTTGCACAGTTGTTGCTGGAAAAAGGTGCAAATGTAAATTATCAAGCAAGACACAATATTAGGTATGGTATATTTATATATATATATATATATATATATGCGCATTTTTTGCCAGAAATCAAATAGAAACAAAATGCAGTACTGACCTGTGAGGCTGCATCACGAAAGATTGTCGTTTGGTTCAGAGAACGATTGAAATTGAATGAATTTTGCAGTCCATTGCACGTTGCAACAAAATGGGGTCGGTCTAATATGGTGTCGTTGTTACTTGCACACGGTGCCGTAATCGATTGTCGCACTCGAGATCTTCTAACACCGCTTCATTGTGCCGCAAGATCTGGTCACGATCAAGTTGTTGATCTTTTGCTGGAAAAAGGAGCGCCGATTAATGCTAAAACAAAAGTATGAATAAGCAATTTATGTTCCTTTCATTTTCATGCACTCGCTACATTGATAATCATGAATTTTTGTAAGCCTTGATTCAGAAATTGTGGGTTTAGTTGTAAGTCACCTTGTGAATGGAACAGAACATCCACTTTAGTTGCGTCTTGGTTCAATCTGTGCTAATCCTATCCGAGTGAGGTGTTTTATAGAATGGTTTGGCTCCATTGCATATGGCAGCTCAAGGCGATCACGTTGATACAGCTCGTATTCTGCTGTATCACCGAGCACCGGTTGACGATGTTACTGTGGATTATTTGACACCTCTTCATGTGGCTGCACACTGTGGTCACGTTCGTGTTGCAAAACTGCTTCTCGATCGGAATGCTGATCCAAACGCAAGAGCGTTAAATGGCTTTACCCCGCTTCATATTGCATGCAAAAAGAATCGTATAAAGGTGAGTTGTTGCTTTCATTATTGCCATATTCCGAAACAATAGTCTAATTCTAGATCATTTGGAACAAATCCTGAGCTATTCAGATTACTGCTGAATGCTGACAGATTTATGAAGTGTGTGACGCTAGGAAAAAGGGAAAGGCCAACATTTTGAAGTCAAACACGAAACACTTGACTTTAAGCAAAACTCTGCGGTAGTCGAATCTAATTGCGTTTTGAACGCTCTTTTGGGAACGACACGAACGGAAAGAACAATATATTTCAGGTTGTTGAACTGCTGTTGAAATATCATGCTGCCATTGAGGCAACCACAGAATCTGGTCTATCTCCGTTACATGTTGCTGCATTTATGGGTGCTATCAACATTGTAATCTATTTATTGCAACAGGTTCATCTTCTCAATTTTACTACCAATTTTTTTCAGCATTGTTAAATTTGCCAAACAAAATCATTTCAATTTGTTATTTCTTCATGAATTTTCTCACTTTCTTATGCGACGAAGTATGATAAGGTGAGAAAGCTTGTGCTGTATAAGTAGACATTCGTCTGATTAAGAAAGAATGTGACATAATTTTGCTAGATTATGAAATCTGAAATTGAATTGCCAGAAATTGTTTCTGGGAAACGTTTACAGCCAATCGATTTCAATTTCATTTCATGTTCCATTTGAGAATTTGTTTTTAATTTGCTCCAACCTATTTCAAATGCATGAAAACACTGGGAAATTCAGTTGAGATTGATTGCTTTTGGTTATCAGCGTTACTGAAGCACACACGTTTATTTTTCTTCTCGTCGCATTCATAATGGAATTTCAAATGCGTACATGTAACAGAACTTCACCATCTCATAAACACAACAAATCATTTTTCATCACAAGCGGTGATTTTTAGAAGCATACAATCAGTTGTTTTGTCGCGCGTTCAACCAACTCATTTTCCATTGATGAAAAGGGATAAATTGGATCTAGAATGGATGCATTTCGAGTACCAACGAATAACGACAAAAAGCTATCGGACGGCTTTCAGCGGAAAAATCCAATATGCACATAGATCTCAAGAGACAAAAAGCTGAACATTCTGAATATTTTCTGCGAAGCTCATTACGCATTTACGGCCATCCGAAACAAAACATTCATGAAAAGAGATTTTATGACTGAAATTAACGTTTTTTGTTTCCAAAAACGATTCTCTCAACATTTATTAGTGCGATGCGCTTTTCCTCATTAGAACTAGTCAGTAGTGTAGGAGGAGGAGCGATGGAACAATTGAAATGGATTGAACTTGAGATTTTATTGGTGGAGTAGGTACAGATGTGAAATTTTCGATTTGTTCTGAGAAAGTACGTAGCATTCAGTGGAGATTTTGAAGTTCTGTTGCATTATCATTCACCTTTGGGATGTGCAGTGAAAAAGAGCATTGTGATTTGAGTGCAGGAAATTGAATATTAAAGCTTTTGATAGTATATTCCTATTTGAGTTTAAGATGTATTGACCTTTAAGCTTTTAAACGAAAATTTTGATGAGTTGCTATCTTTTAATCAGAATATCTTCGGAAAACTAATATTGTGGATAACATGAATTCGTAGCGTGAATTAATCGAATCGATGTTTTTGTGATAACATCGATATTTTGTTGCAGGGTGCAAATGCAGACGTTGCAACAATTCGCGGCGAAACACCACTGCACTTGGCTGCAAGAGCCAATCAAACTGATATCGTACGAGTGCTTTTACGCAACGGAGCGAAGGTAAGCAAGAGGAAGAAGATCGTAAAAATATAATCATTTGCGCACTTACTTGTAGATCCGTTCTGACTGTTACTTTGTCATCAGAAGGGAATATTTGACTTGGTAACATTCAACCAGTTAATTCCGTTCGCTAATTCTTTAAAGTGTCTGAGGCTGCTGAGTTATCGTGTTGAGTTTTTCAAATGAAATATATCCCATGTTTCAATGGAGCCTAAAAACAAACTTGGTCAATGCGTTTCTCAATAATGGATGAATGAATATCGCAGGTTGATGCAACTGCGAGAGAACTGCAAACGCCTTTGCACATCGCATCACGACTCGGTAATACTGACATTGTGGTACTGCTTCTACAAGCTGGTGCGTCGCCAAATGCAGCCACTCGAGACCAGTACACTCCGTTGCATATTGCTGCCAAGGTATATTGCTTCGTCTAATGTATTTCAAAACAATTTCGGGAATCATTCAAACCCATCTCGTCAGTTATTTGGTTTAAAATGATTTGCTGTCAGCTCTAGAAATATAGTGGAAGAATGACTATTAGACGTTTATTTTAGGAAGGGCAGGAGGAAGTGGCAGCAATCCTTCTCGATCATGGAGCTGATAAGAATGTGCTAACGAAGAAAGGATTTACTCCGCTACATTTGGCTGCAAAATATGGAAACATTCAGGTGGCGAAGTTGTTACTGGAACGAGGAACGCCTGTGGATATTGAAGGGAAGAATCAGGTATTTGTTTTTGAGGAAATACCTTTTGGTATTTTATTTGAACGGATTCGTTGGCAAATGGACATCATTAAGAGAGCTCAGTTTTGTTGCGTTTGCTCACTTGACTGAATGCTCAACAGGTCAAGTGTAAGCAGTTGAACAGCTCATGCCTCTTTAAAGCGGACGAGTTTATCCTACCTCAGGCTGTAACATATCACGTTTTTGAGACTGTTCAGCATTCTTGATATTATTATTATTATTATTATTATTATTATTATTATTATTATTATTATTTGAGGTAACACCATTGCACGTCGCTGCACATTACAACAATGATAAAGTAGCACTGTTGCTACTCGAGAATGGTGCATCAGCACATGCTGCGGCTAAGAACGGATACACACCCCTGCATATAGCAGCTAAGAAGAATCAGATGGACATTGCTTCAACACTTCTCCATTACAAGGTATACTGCTCGTTGTATGTGCAAATTAATTGTTCGTTGACAAAATGTAATGTTTTTGCTAATTTCTAATTTTCAGGCAGATGCAAACGCGGAAAGTAAAGCCGGTTTCTCACCATTACATTTGGCAGCACAAGAAGGTCATCGTGAGATGTGTGCACTTCTGATTGAGAACGGTGCCAAAGTGAGAGCATTATAACATTCAAGCAATGACCTGGCTCTGCTGAACTCTTATTATTCAGTTCATAAAGAATCTTTGCCCGTAACTTGTGCAGTTATTTATTCGTTGTATTGTTGAAGGTCGGGGCAACGGCAAAGAATGGCCTGACACCAATGCATCTGTGTGCACAAGAGGATAGAGTTAATGTAGCAGAGGAACTCGTTAAAGAGCATGCGGCTATTGATCCTCAAACCAAAGCTGGCTATACGCCGCTTCATGTGGCTTGTCATTTTGGTTGGTATTTATTACCTTTTCTATTGTCAGTGGAACGCAGTGATTCATCCTCACCACGAAACATCACTAGTTGTTTATTTTGCAGGTCAAATGAACATGGTTAAGTTCTTGATTGAACACGGTGCTCCAGTGTCAGCTACTACTCGAGCTTCATACACACCGCTGCATCAAGCTGCACAACAAGGTCACAATAATGTCGTTCGATATCTTCTCGAACATGGGGCTAGTCCGAATGTTCAAACCGCGGTTAGTTCGTGTGAATATCATTTGTTGTTTAGCGTATTCTCTCATCTTCTTTGAATTTTGCTGTGCTAAATGTTTCATCATTGCTCGTTCAAAGGGATCTTGCTATTCGCTAAACTTTTGACAATCTATGAAATGCTCCTAAGTTAATACAAAGTAAAAGTTCTTTCCCGAACAGTTCATTTCAAGAACGTAATGCTGTATCCTCCTTGCTTGCAGACTGGTCAGACACCTCTGTCGATCGCTGAACGCCTTGGTTATGTGTCGGTAGTAGAAGCACTCAAAACGGTCACTGAAACAACGGTTATCACGGAGACAACAACTATCACAGAGGAACGCTACAGACCACAAAATCCAGAAGCAATGAACGAAACGATGTTCTCGGATTCTGAAGATGAAGGTATTCCCCTTTATCACAAAATTTTCCGTTCAGACCGACTCCTTTCCTTAAACGCAGGGCTCTTATTTGGAAGGGGTTTATTTTGTTTATGCTTTGATGATTTCAGTTGTAATTAATTGTTCTTTAATGTATGTTTCCTTTCCGTTCCGTTTGATTATTTTGCATGCATTTATGCATTCCTTTTGCGACAATTTGTAAGGTTGTTCAAATTTGTATTATGCACATCAAAGGAGTGGATTTCTTAATTTGTTTTTGTGTGTGTGTGTGTGTGATTATGACAGCTCATCTCTAAATGATAGGAATCAGTTTAATTTCGATGTTCAACCGAAAACGATGGCACAACTTATGAGACGTGATCGGACTTATTCAATTTAATGGATTGTTTCATATCTGTCCCAGAGAATAATATCACTACCTTGGAATGAACTGATCGTGAATGAAATGAAACATTTGTTTGAAAATTGATGCAAGAATCAGTTTCTAATGGAAGGCCAATGATAATTTCTTAAAGTAGTTGTGGATGCGTTTGGTGATTGTGGGATGATGGCGAATTGATATCTGATGGTGTGACGTGACATGAAAACATGAAAGTTGTTGATTTCAGTTGTTGTTGTTGTGGGTGTGATTGATATTGTTGATTGTAATTGGTATTGAGTGTTGTTCTTTGGTGGTCGTTCCGTTAAATGACAAATTTAAGCGACGGCAGCGGCTCTCGAAGAGGATCCTTCGCATCTTCGGTCGCTTGCAAATTCACCATTACAACTGTCAACCTCAGACGATCACGATCTCAGTTTCTTCCCGAACCATACATCCAGTCCATACCCTTCACCAGCTCACGAAAACAAGTTATCTTCATCACGTACGCTCTTCTCCTTTTTAGTTTCTGACTTTCGGTATATATTGTTTAACTGTTGCGTTTATTTTGTTTTGCTAAGTTGTGGCATCCTGCATGTTTATTTTGTTTTTATTTTTATTTCCATCATTCGTTTACTCGTCGATTTATCATTTTGAAGTTTAATTTGGCTTGGTAACTGCTTTGTTTTGGAACACATTAACTAAATTTTGTCCTGCTGATGACAATTAAAGAGAAGGCATTATTGGATTGGTATAGATGAGTTTTGTGACCGTAAATTCTGCGATATCTGAAACATAGGTCAATCAAATGATACCTTCGATCCAGTTGATTGGAAAGTTGAGTGTAGCGAACATTGATGGGGAAAAGTCGTTTCACTCTTAAATGATTGAAAAAAGAAATGTAAAATGCTGTGAAATACTCATATGGTTTGAAATCTGATTCAAAAAACACTGAATTCTTCTTAAACAGTTCGAAAAGTGATACTGAAAATCGCCAAATATTTAAGTGATTTAAGAGATGTTGTAAAAAAGCCGAGGTTATTTATCAAGTGGAGAGATGGAGGAATCAACAATGTTTTTGTTCTGCTAAAAGCAGTCCAGTAGTGCGCTGACGGAAAAGTAGTGAAAACCGCTCGCTAAAGATGCTGCTCATCGGATGAAGCACCGATGGTTATCGCTAAAGGTCTACTCAGCAAAACTAGTCCACTAGCCACTACTTTCAACTTTCCTTTCAAAATTTGCAATTATACTACTGATTTATTTTGGAGAAAACCTCATTGTGCCATTGAACAGTTGAAAATTTTGGTTTAATCAATCAGAGAAGAAAGTCTCTTGAATAATAAACTCGAGTAAACAATGAAAATTGGAGTTAACAATAGAAAAATAACCAACAAAATTCATAGTGAGCATTTTGTCTAGGATTTTGGATCGTTTGGATGTCATTTTATCCCTTCCTAACGGAATAAAAATGAAGAAAACTTCATTGGCCTGTTACGTAACGTATTTAAGGTTACTTAAGTTTGTGAGTTCAGATGAAATGCTAGTGTCACATCAATAGCAAGCATTTGAAGTATCGTTGAACATTCGAAATGAACCCGTTCAGATGATTCTAAGTAACATAATTTCGAATGTAGTACTTATCAGTGTTACAGCACGACTGTGTGTTTTAAATGTGTTGCTGTTAGTGTTGTGCGAGGAGTCCCCGTCCTCGGGTCCCCGAGGAGTCCCCGTCCACGGCCATTTTCCGGGGCTGTCCCCGTCCCCGAAAGATCCCGATTCTCCCTGTGCCCGACTTTTTTTCCGTCCCCGCACAGCACTAATTAATCTAATTGCCACTCTATGCCGTCAGAACCATTGTACGAGAGATTGTCGCTATTAAATTCTGCTATGTAAAAGTGCTAGCCGCCATCTAATGCGTTGCTGAAAGCATAAGTAGCGGAATAGCGAATAACGCGATATTGTCCACAACTGATTTTTCACATTACATTTTAGACATTTCGAAGACGCAGCATTTCTTTCGAAATGATATTACAAACGCTTCAAGAATTCATCGGTTTTCATTTTGTCAGCAAATTGTCCCTACCAATATTTCGTAATTGATCTGAGAATGGTTAGTAGAATAGTTACCTATTTTATCTAAAAATGGGAAACGATTTAAAAGGGCAGATACTTTTATCGCTTAAGAGGTGGACCGTTTCAAAATACAGCTTAGTCGGTCTTTGAACAGTTTTGATTTCAAGTAATCGTTTTTTCATCTCTGGCAGGGAATAATTCTAATCGATCACTTTAAATTAAGGTGAAGATAATCAAGTGACTGCGAATGCGCATGTACGTGATTTTTCGGAGAGTCTCACACAAGGTCTACATGATTCGACTGGGGTTCATTTGATTCATACTGCAGAACCGGTTAGTAAATATAAATGAGCTTATATTTTGTGAATTTTATATCTTATATGATTTATAGTTCAATCCTGGCTCATATGTTTATGGAAATGCAATTATCGAAACGGTGTTCTTTCAGAAAAATTATTTTCAGTTGCTTTCGAGAAGCCCTGAAATGGATACGGCTGACGGCGATTTGGATGCGCTAATAAGAAAGGCGCAAGTGAGTGGCTAAATTTGATTAATTGAATTTTATCGGATATATTATATTTGTCCTATTTGCATCATCATAGCTCTTTCTTCTCATCACTAAACAGACTTGCGAGAAGCCCAGCAGGAATTTCATTTATTTCGGTTCTATCTACCCAATAATGCATCATGCGTCCGTTGGATAGTGCCACGCCGAGTCAACCAACCAGCCATCCATCCCACTAATCCAGCTAGAGGATGTACATCATGGCTCAACGTTCGGCTGGTTCGTTGCAATTGTCGTCAATTAAATTCGGTAGTGGATCTTCAATATGCGCAACATCGCCTCGAAGAAACACTTTAATAAATGTCGGAAAGAAACTATTATCGGGCGCACTTGTCCGCATTACAACGGCACCAATGCCGCAAAAGATTGCTACTGTGAAGGAAGAGATGCCGATATTGTTGGATTATCCGGACCAACCAGTGGAATGCGACAGTGATGACCATAATCTGAAATCATCCCCGACAGATAATAGCCGTTCAGTAGGATAATCAGCATCCATCTATCTGTCATCTCTACGTAACGTTTAGGTTTCAACTGAAGGAGTTAAACTCCTCTGAAAGGAATTAATTCATCAAATGGAATGGCGATATTGTCACTGATTATGAGTTAGACTATGAACATTTGTTTTGAGCGGATTTCGATGAGAGTGAAATTGAAATTCTATCGAATTTTAGTACGAACCAGTTGCAACAGCTATGGCCGATTCAACAATTGACACAACAATCCCAGATAATGTTGCGCTAACGCATACCACCGTACAACCCAGGTATTTTTTCAGCACATTTGTCTTATTAAAATTTTCAATTTAACGATGTTATTGACTCGATGTAAACATTATCTATTGAAAGCTATTCCCATTAAATAACATCTCTTCATAGTGAAGGGATCATTTATATCATTCATGAACAATCATGTGTTGGATTCACATGGATTTAAAACATGATTAAACCTGATAATTAGTGTATTGGTTGACATTTATGGTCATTTCACGTGGCTCGATAACTATTTCGTTATGCAATAAAATTTGAAAAATGTCTGTTCTCGGTGGTTTATGTTTGAAGTTAACGCATTTTGTGGTGATTATCTTCTGCATGAAGCTTCTCTTTTGCATTCTCCTTTCTTCCTTTCCCATTTCTTTTTTTCGACTTCTACTTGATTTTGAAATGTATAAAAGCGAAAAAAGGTTACATCCGCAATCAAACTTTCAATTCTTCATGTCCAGTTGTACTGTTTGAAGTACATTCAAAGTAATAGTATCACTTGATGTTCTTGCATTGAATAAGTCGGAAAATAATTTTTTCCGTTTCCATAACAAATGTAAAAATTATCGTTTTGTTTGTTCGTAAAATGCCTCAGTCCAGTAAAATCTTACTAATAAGTTTTGTAAAAATTTCAGCAAACTTCTTCATAAAACGTGAGTTTTTTATTCGAAAACTGTATAATTTTTTCAAACTGACAGTCTGACTATTTGTTAATGTATTTGAACGACCGCACTCTGCATTGGACTTGCTAATGTGTTTTTCGTTGTTGTGTTGGGTAGTTGGTCATTTTTTTGTTGTCCGCTAATTTTTTAAGCTCTCTTACGCTGGTTTATTCAGCCTATACGTATATATCAGCATTATTATTAGCAATCATCACGCGATTTAAATGCATACCACCGAACATCACTATGCTGTCAAATGAATCAGCTCACTCACAGCGATTCTTCAGTTCACTCTGAAACAGTTGTGTTGTGTTCAGAACAAATCAGATCCGAAACAAAAAATTCAGTCATACTCTCAGTTTTCGTTACAGCATATAATTTCATACGTTCCCAAATATTTTTAACCTTCACTTTTTTCTAGTATCAGCACCATATTCCTACGCATAAAAAAATGAATCTTTTCCAGCTCTTCATATATACATATGAAATACAACACTCTTGAATAACTAAACAAACAAAAACCACACGATAATCGAATATGTTGATGATGGGATAAGTGACTCTACGAATGTTGTTGAATTTCGTTTATCGATTCTGTTCGTTGACTGCTGCCGATAGCGAGTTTGATCAATGATATCAATAGTAACACTGTTAGATAACAATAATCCTATGCTATCGTCATAATCTCCACACGCATCAATTCCACAAATCAGTCGCAAACACCACACGTTCAGCTATTCACTATTCTGGACTGTATTCTTCGAATAGGGTGGGATTTCCTAGCAGATCAGTGGAATAATGCACACATCATCACTTCCAAATCCAGCTTCTTCATCTCTGCTTGCTTTGGAGCAGTCAACACAATCTGCCATCAAACAAGCCAATAATTGTATTTGTAGTTTTCTGATATCGTTTATGGTGGATGCTCGAGGTGGTGCGATGCGTGGGTGTCGCCATTCAGGTGTTCGTATCATTATCCCACCACGTAAGGCATCACAGCCGATGCGGATTACGTGCAGATATCTCAGAAAGGTTCGTTTTATAACTTGTCGCTATGTCAAAATATTCTTTTGCTCGTGATCACGATAAAGGTGCCGCAAAGATACGGTAGGTAATTCGGAGGTTTGAAGCGGGAGAGGGAGAGTTTTGCAGCAGATTTTAGGATCAGTTGCATGTTTTTACAGGTTATGTTGGCGATGAAGGTTATGTAGAAATCTTTAGGTACAAAGTAACACTGAAGTATTTGCATGACTAGGTTTCAGCGTTGATAATTTAATTGACCGATGCAGCAAATTGATACCGTAAAATTCTAATCGCTTCAAGGGATATATGTAATCTTTTTTAGTTGTTGCTGATTGATATTGCTCGGAATAAATCAAGTAATGAATTGATCACCTACAATTAGTAGTTGAAGATGAGAACTGCTGGAATAGAGTAAATTCTGTAAATTCTGTTTTGCTAGTATCGTTAGCTGAGCGCGAAGGATGTCAAGAAAGGAGAGTGTGATATTGGTGATACAAGAGAAACAAACTCGTAATGAGTTGCACTTGTTGATGAAATAAACAAACATCTATAGCATGAAACATAAGTGAAAGATGTATCGTGTTGAAAAAAATGATATTACCATAGTTGCTGCTAGAGAAAATATGTGTACGATGAAGTAAAAATGATTTTGTTCAGAACAACATTCATTCACTCCCAAAAAAACGCGTTTGGGTATTGGGTGTTTTCTAACTATAGCATGGATGAATTTGAGAAAGCGAACGCTTCGGATGCGTTTAATTAATTCATTTGTAAGCCACCTGATCACCACTCACCATTCCATATACTGATTGCGTCCGCCAGTTGGATTGCGTTCATATGTTCATATTTTGGAGGGGTGGAAGAGAAATATATGAATTAATAACACGGATGGATGTACACTCGTTCAACAATGTTTCTTCGATATTACAGGACAAATTGGCACATCCGCCTCCTTTGAGTGAAGGAGAAGCGTTGGCCTCACGCATCCTGGAGATGGCACCTCATGGTGCCAAATTCCTCGGTCCAGTCATACTCGAAGTACCACATTTTGCATCGTTGCGGGGTCGTGAACGAGAAATTGTCATACTGAGATCAGACGATGGGCAACACTGGAAAGAGCATCAACTTGAAGCAACTGAAGACGCTGTTCAAGAAGTGTGTTTGTTTTCAGTCAGTACTCAAAATGAACCATATCAAAATATCATATTGATCTAATTCAAAAGTTGTATATTAAATCTAATAGTCTCTGATAGCAAATGCCTTTCAAAATGTTATTCCGTTTTACGCGTATCAAAAGCACGAATTCAGGTGCCGTCTGAAATTTTCTTACTACATTGAAAGTTCTCAAAAATTACTGCTCAAAAACACTTATTCGAAGGTTTTGAACGAATCGTTCGATGCCGAGGAGTTGTCTCAACTAGATGATCTGCACACATCAAGAATCACTCGTATTCTTACGAATGATTTCCCGATGTATTTTGCGGTTGTAACGCGTGTTAGACAAGAGGTACACTGTGTTGGTCCAGAAGGTGGTGTCATCCTCTCATCGGTTGTACCTCGTGTTCAAGTAATTCATTCTTTACCTATTCACTGAGTCCATCTGAAATTAAGTATCAGTAATTTTTTCAAATCATTTTCAATACAAGCACTGCTCAAGCAGCAATTATTGTTCCAAGAACGAATGATATTTCAGGCGATATTCCCGGACGGTTCTCTAACGAAAACAATCAAAGTTTCTGTACAAGCTCAGTCGGTACCGCATGAAATTGTGACAAGATTGCATGGCAATCGTGTTGCTGTATCACCAATAGTTACGGTTGAACCAAGAAGGCGTAAATTTCACAAGCCGATCACTCTATGCATTCCACTACCACAAAGTACTCACAAGGGCATGCTCACACAATATAGGTCAGTGGTCACTGTTCTACCAAACTACATTCATTTGTTCATTCCTAAGTCGTTTTACGACAGCATCTTCGAGAAGGCGTTTGATGCATTCTACGTTTTAGTGAAAAGTGTCGTTAAAGTCTCAACATCTACAAATATTAATATTTACCTCTTCAAAATTTCAATTTTTCAGTGGTCAGCCAGGTCAAGAACCACCTACTCTCCGTCTTTTGTGCAGTATCACTGGTGGTTCGGCACCAGCACAATGGGAAGATATCACCGGGACTACGCAACTAACATTCACTGGTAATTTGGTTTGGAATGTTTCAAAAACTTCATCTTTAGAGATTGAATTGCCTGTACATACTGTTCGAGTATCTCACTTTCCCGATTATCATTGATTTATTTGTGATTGAACTGTTTCAGGTGAGGATGTGTCGTTCACAACAACAGTATCTGCAAGATTCTGGCTGATGGACTGTCAAACACCACGAGACGCAGCCCGTATGGCTCAAGAAGTTTACAACGAGGCTATCGCTGTTCCATATATGGCCAAATTCGTCATTTTCGCTAGACGCACGTTCCCAACCGAGGGCCAGCTGAGGTCAGATGATTTCAAGACTGGGATGATTTCAAGAATACTGAGCTTATTGCTGGATACCTGTAGTTTTAATGGATATCTTTTCTGACTGAGGAGCATTCATCCATGTGAACCGGCTGTGCCAGAATGAAAAAAGATGAATGTACATAGTTACAGAGTCACTTTTATAAACTGTTCGTTCTGAAAGTGATCATTGTGAGTGTTTTAAGAGTGTTCTGTATGACTGATGATCGAGAAGATAAAACACTCGAAAAACAAGAGCATTTCATCGAAATCGCAAAATCTAAGGATGTAGAAGTGCTGAGTGGTCGTCATCAATTTCTCGAATTCGCTGGTAATATTCTACCGGTCACTAAGAGTGGTGATCAACTGTCTCTGTATTTCTTACCGTTCCAAGAGAATCGACTTGCCTTCCTCATAAAGGTAAGTTATTCATGAACTGTATTTCTCACTTAGCAGCCTTTTGCGTTTTCATTGTAATCGATGCACTATCCACCGATGAACAGTGTTTCACCGCATTTATAATCAGCTGAAACTGGGCAATAGCGGAAGATTTTTTCTCGCCGTCACAGTTGCATAAAAAGTCAGTGCAAAAAACTCTCGAACATTTTCCTTTTTGATGTGACGCTATCGATAAGTTTGTTTTGATGCAAGATCGTATTGAAAATGTTATTGATCTTATCTTCTAGACACGAGCGCAAGATAATGAAGAAGCCGCGGCAGGTGGTCGTATAGCATTCATGAAGGAACCGAAAACTCGAGCCGACAGTTTACCACCACAGCAACCACTTTGCACCTTGGCGATCACTTTACCTGATTATATTGGACAGGTGAGAAGATTTTTATCCTTCTCACTAGTGTTATTAACATGCTAATATTTACCTTCGTTGTGCGATTCTTGAATGCATACACAAACGGTAGATGACTGCTGAAACAAATCAATCACAATTTCGATCATGATAAGTAAACCACTGTCAATAGACTATTGAATATTACCGTGTACTGATAATAATGTTAAGAAATCTGTTATTTCAATATTGAATATTCATATTTATTCAAAGTTCAGGAATCTCAACTGTCGAGTCATCGACCGGATGGTAAATCGATAATGGCTAAGTATGCTGATCAACTGAAAGAAGGCAGTGATCCACCAGGCTTGCGAATGGCTCATATGGCTCGTTTGATTGGACCCGATTGGCATCGACTAGGACGTGCGCTGGATATTCCAGATGCAGATATTCGGCAAATACGTCATCAAATGATCGGTAAAGAACCCATAACGATTCTGCGAATTTGGGTGTTCCTCAAGAAGGAATATGCAACTCGTGAGTTTTATTGGATGTTTCAGATTCCGATCGATTGAATCGGTTCTATTATTGAATCTGAATTTGAGTTGAGCTCAGAGTTCGATTAATATTGCAAAAGCAGTTGCCCTTAGTTGCGCATTAGCCTGAATCTGTCAAATCAATTAATGGAGCTTTTTGTTTAGCTGATGCACTTCGAAATGCATTGCGTAGAATCGGACGTGAGGATGTACTGAGTGAAGTTGATAAAGATGACGAATCAGTTGATATGGATTCGATGATCAGCTCGTCGTCGTTGACCCATCAAACACCTCTGCCTACTGCACCAATCATCACCACTACCGGTACCGCTACAACTACGATCACATCTACTTCAGCATCTGCTGTTCAGCCTGACACCGCGACATCAACAACTACTAGTCATTCATACTCACAAGCTAAAGAGGTAAAATCTCGTTTGATTCTTAAAATAACACTGATTGAGCACTTGAAATTCCTGTTGATTTCTTACAATTTAATCCATTCCTGTGGCAGAAGTGGAATTGATTCAGATGAAATTTCTTATCGATATAAGAAATCAGCAGTGGAATTCAAACTTTCGCAATGTAGATATAAGCATCTTATTTATGTTTATATATACATAGCGAAATTTGCACATTCGGGTGGAACAAAGTATAATAAGAAGCAAAAGTTGATAAGTGCTGGAGTGATCGTTGGTTGTTAACTTTCGTGTAATTTACAAATCACACCAGAATAACTAAGTCCAATTGCAATTGGCATTATTTGCTCTACATATAAAGCGTGTTAAAAACATTTAAAATTCATGTATTTACTGTCTATCAAATAATTTAGTGTTCTACAACATATGTGACCCTGAACATTCATCCAAGTTGTCCAATAAATCGTGGAATAGGTTACATCATTGATTACAATAAAACGAAATTGTATTCTGTCATTTTGTATAAGCGTAGCAAACGAAAAATTTTTTTTGCTGGCATCTGAGAAACGGCGTACCCATTAGGAATCGCTGAATATTTTTCCCCATCAAAGCCGTTCGATTGGCAGAGAGAGCTGATAGCTTGTAAACTGTTTGAAAAGATAACTGCGTACGTAGATTTGCACGAAATGTAGTTGGAAGCTGTTTCTGAAAGTATTGATGAGCACTAAATTCGTCATATATGATTACTAATTGTGAAATTTTTTGTTGGTATTTGTATGATATGAAATGAGCGCAAATGCGAATGTTGTTGATGCTTTCGAACAGATAAGAGTTATTGCGGTATACCGTTTCAATGCGATTGTCTTCTTGATCGTTCCATTTTGTTTTACTTTTCTTTCGTTCCAGAGAAGAAATAATATACGAAATGTGCGCTGAATGTACCTGCCTTTCTATAAATGAGCGTTTGTTAGTAGTAGACACATATATCTCTATGAGATGCGTTGCTGTGAGTGGTTATGTTGCATTCGTTCAACGTCCAATTTCAAGCAGTTTCAGCCAGTCGTTGAAGAAGACATGGCCATCTCTCAGTCGACTGCTCCACGTGATTATCAAACCTATGCTGAACCTGATCATGTTCAGTTTGCACGAGCTTCTACCGCAGATGCGCATGCCGTCCAGGCTGTACCAGCAAGTGATCTTCAAGGTTGTAACTATTCATTGATGAATTCATCATCATCACTTATTCTCGTACACTTATCATTGATTGTCATGATGATGTCGTTTGAAAACTTCATTTCATGTGACGTTTCTTCATTGTTGTAATAAGTTCCTTATAGATGAAGATGAAGAGGTTCCTGTCTCAGAGATTCGCACCGTTGTACGCACAGAAAGACATGTGCATGATTCGGAAAATGGTTCGTGTTCTCAGTGTCTGTATGTATTTTTCTTTCATGATCATGTCATAGGAATGATCAGTAATAGAAATAAACATCGCATATCTCTGATCAAGTCAGTGAATTCCTGTTACTGGCTGCAGTTCTGAGCTGAATGATTTGGCATACTTGTGATGTGGGGTGTGAAAGTAGAATTCGGAAATGAAATAGAGATTGAACCGGTGAATCAGTAGTTATTACAGGTCCGATAGTTGAAGAACGTACCATAACGACAACTTATGAGGATGATATTGCTGTCAATGAAGAAGTAGTTGATAGAATAGTACCGTTGAATGAAGAAGAGCAAGAAAAGTGGGATCGTATGGTGCGTGAAGCTCAGGAGGCTCTTGATCACGAGGTAACGTTCGGTTGACTGTTTCAATATGCTTTCGTTTACAATTACCTAGTTGTCATTGGATTCGTCCAATGAGTATCGCTGTCATGCCCCGTGCTCATCAAATTGATTGTGATTGTAAAATTGTGCAACCTTATTTCATCGATCAGTAGCACTGTCAGAGTACATAAGTAGTGATATATCTGAAGCCCACGTAGAATGCGAATGCGTCAAATTTTGCACGAATAGTCGGCGGAGCTATGGTTCAGAAACGCATCGTTGTATTGCATTTATCTTGCAGAAATCATTACAGTCAAACGAAGGTGATCACCAAGAGGTATTTGAAGAAGAACATGAAACTGAAGATGGTAAAATTGTGAAGAAGACAACCGTTAGAACAACTCATGTAACAACTACTCATGACGAGCAACCAACAGCTGAGTTGAGCTACAGGGATCATGAAAGTAAACCCATTGCAGAAAAGTATCCACATTCAGCATCAAAAGTTGTCACTGCTACAAGTACTGCCATTAGCGGTCATTCACCAGGTCCGTTACATGAACTCGTTGATTTTTTATCTCGTTTGATTCCCGCTGAATGCCCATCGCATTGTGTTCTCGATTCTTCAAAAGTTTCGAGTAATTTTAAGTATCGAAAGCAAATGGGATCGAAATCAAAGAAACTGACGTTGAAAGTGTCAGTGAATGAACAGAGTAATCCACCTGATTTGATAGAGATACTTTATTTGTTCTTTCATTTCATATATCTTATTTGTTCATTTATTCGTTCAAGCCAGATATATTTTTCATTTATTCGTGTTAAAAAAACGTTGTGGTAGTGTTAATGGAGGTCACACATCTATCTCGTTCTTCCACTGCTTATCACGCACTGCAGTTCGCAATCGGCTGTTACGATGAACAAAACAAAATGAAGTCCCTTTGGAGGTGTATTATGTTTCCTCACCTGCTGCTAAGATTTGACCCCGCAACTAATGAGGCATGAATCAGCCAGTGCATGTTGTATTTGATTCTTATGCAGCGTAACTGTTTGCATAGAAATGAAGAAGTTATTATCGAGAATGTCTTGTGAATGAAGGATTTATGAGTGATTAGAATAAATGGAGAATGGCTTTTGCTATCAAATGATATGATTACCTGCGTGTGTCAGACGGTTTCTCTCATCTGCAACCTATTTGCTTCATTGTCATTCGATCATATTTAGCCCTCTTTTCTCATTTTGCTTCTTCCCATCCAGCAACCAATTCTTCCTCCAATTATGATGCTTCTAATTCTACTTTCATTCTATTTTCTATCTGATTACCTGTCTTTTTTCATTCAGTCTCTCCTCATCTATATGCTGATTGCTTTTTGAACCATTAAATTCTGCTTATTCCGCTGTCCTCCAGTCATTCAGCTGTTCGTGCATCGTCTTTAAGACATTTTAGGTAGCATATTTAAACAAAGATACACACATTCAAGCTAGCTTAGAATAGATTAGCGAACGTTAAGGGAGTTAGGGACATGATTAGTTCTTGCTTTTGAAGTTCTAGTGGGGCGCGATTGCGATTCAGAATTTGTGGTGAAGCGAGGAAGTATTGGAAGAATGAGAAAGAGAGTGACGTACCTTTTGTACAGTTTAAAATGATACTGAGAGTTGATTGGAGATGGGAAGCAAAAGAGAGACAGGAAAATTGTAGAAAATCATTTGGTTGATGGGTTAAAACTTTTCAGAAATCTCGGAGAAGGAGGGCACAATGAAGATGAAAGAACTGAAGCAAGCTGTTGGCGATAAGGGGCGTGTGAATGAAAGCGAAGGTAGTGAAATGCTGCAATGAAAATGAATAAATTAATCAATAAACTTCAGTGAAACCAAATAACTTAAATTCTATCTTCTCTAATACAATACAATATAATATACTGTTCTTCATCCGCCCATTCTGAGTCGCATATATCCGATTGTTTCAATAATTTAATTGTGACCGCTTATGGCTATTATATAATCACATAAACAAATGATATTAATGAATATCTCACACTCTAAGTAGTGATCACATGCTGTAACATTATGAATCACTGTCACTATGCTGATCATCACAATCATTCGCTGCAATGATATTAGGCATTTTGTTTACGAATATTTTATGAATTTTGCTTATGTATTCATTTCATGCTCCTTTTTATTATCACTGCTTGTTTTTTAATAGTCAAGAAACAAAAGACTCGTTCTGTTGCTTAGATTGTCTGATTTGTGTTGCTATTCTAACAGTGCTATGCTAATGTGTAACTGTGTGCTAGAATGTTGATCACTCGATAAACATATATTCTCTTCTCTTCTACGAATATCTTTTCGTGTTTTATCAAACAGCACAAACACAATCAGGTCAACAGCTGACTGACGGAATGAAGAGGCATGTCCTGTTCCTTTTATTACACACAACCTACCTATCTTAACTTGTCTGCTACCGCTATTCTCATTATGTCAGGTACTCAGCTTAATTCATCACAATCCTCGCTGTGCGTTATTGGTGCCCTAACGATCTCTGTTATTCAATCGCTATGTCTAGTGCCATTAGTGGTTAATGATAATGATTCTATTACTAACGCTGAGACTCTGAGTGCAACTCACTCATCGTATTGAATCATTTCATAAATTGCTCGTTGAAGATGAGGAAAAAACTTCAGAGTTATCGCAACAAGTTGCTGTTGATATTGATAATGCTGCAGTGGGTCAGAAAAAACCAGTTGAACATAAGCAGCTCAATAATGATATCGGAGCATTTAGTGCTGGAACGTTGTTGCAAAGAGGTGGTGTCATTATGGAACAACAACTACACCAAGAAGATCATCTTGCTCAAGGTGAGAGAGAGCAATCTCCTGTGAACGACCCCACCTCGCCGCCCCAAGTCGATGAAGCGCAACCAATTGCTTCAAGTGGTCAGTTCGAACGCAAACGAACTGATTCGCTGGCCGCTGCTATTTTATCAGCCCAAGATGCACCGCTTGGTCAAAAGGCTACCGTACAGTTCGTAAGTTCATCAGGCGCTGGTGTACCTCCGACGCTAATTGAAGCAGTTGAAACGAGCGAAACTGAGTCACATATTCAGCCACCGGCATCTGAAGCTACCAAGCAGGAACAAGTACTAAGCTCTGAAACAGCTATCGTCAAACTTTTGTTTACGCTTCATCAGTTACAAATGACAGATCCGAGTCGGTACGAAACGGCTGTACGCCGGATCCAGGATCTAGAGGAAGAGTTGCGTATGGCTGGTGCTGTGTGTCCACCAGATGTGCGTGTTACAGATGCAGTTGCTAAGGCACTCGCAATAGCTGGTCGTAGTTCGGATATTCAAATTCGTGTCAATTCATCGCGTCAAACCAGCACTACCAAAACTGTGTTTGAGGGTGAAACTCCGCATTTCCAAGGGCTTGATAACGACATGATTCAACGTCTTCAGCAGCAGCTTATCTCAAATCTGAGTCAGATCAATTAATCATTCTTGACTAATTCGTTTAATATCGTTCCGAAAGTGATTTGTTTGCGTGGCTCGTTACTGTGCATGTTGTCCAATTATTTTTATTTTTCAGTCGTTGTGTCTTCGTGCTATTCGTTATCCTCTCATGCGGAGTTCATTCTTAAGTTATTATGAGAAAAGCAGTAATATCACCTCCAGTTCAATGATTCGATTTTGATGAATTTTGGGGAAATAAGAACGCGGCGCAGTGTACTCTGTTTGAATAGCGCGTTAATTTCAGGTTCGGTAGCTGCTCCTCAGCAATCTGCTCAACAGCAACAAAAGCCAACACCTCAACCAGGTAACCGAGTGTCTCTTCTTATCAAATTTCCAAATATTACCGCCACTTTTTATTGTTCCATTTCGGTTGGATTATCTGACGGTCATTAGAGCGATCGTTCATCTGAAAATGCATAAAATTATTTCACCTCTTAGCTTGTAAATAGTCGATCGGTGTGTTCTAGCTGACAAAGAATGTGTTCTAGCAATCAGCGATTGATTCAGCAACCTGTATTTATGAAATTTCACTGTGCATGTTAAGTGCTTCATCTGCTATATCGGTGGTTTTCACGCTGTTGCGCTTACTGCACTCATTTGTACGTATGACAGATCGCCACTTTCTCTTTCAACACCTACATGAACATAATTTTCATTTCCTTAACATCCGATTAAGTCATAATGTCAAAGCAGAAGAAAATCAGAAAGCTGACCCACTAATCAGCAAGCTCTTTGTCAGTATTTCACCGGTTTGATGAAAGGATTCGAATCCTTGAGTTCAAACAAGTATTTCGAAAACGATTGCCAAACTGTGGAAACGAATCGATCAACTGTGGATTGCATACTCCTCAATTTCCAGCATTGCCAGGAATATTTAATGCCGTGCGAACCACTACAGTACTCCTGGATTCTGTTAACACACTTTTACTTTTACTGAACAACGATATTGTATTAAAAAGCTGTTTGCTTCTAAGAGTCAGCTCCAAAGCATTTACTTTTGCACGTTTGCGTCGAAAAATATGCTCAGTCTATTAAACTGAATACAGATATAGTGTGCAATGTGTATCGATTCGATCTGTAACAACTGCTTCCCATCATTTACTTATAGTTTTCGCCTACGGCACATTCGTATACTTCATTTGATTTAATTGCACTTTGTTATCGAGATGGACAGAAATTAAATGAGCGATACTCATGAACGCTGAATATAATATCAACGTTACCTTCAAATACCAATTCTTTCAGCATCCACGAAACCAAGGAAATAGCAAGTGTATTTCATGTAAGAAATGCTGTCTTGGAACCAAAGTACATCTCAAATTTTGCTGCTTTTCACTAGCATATTGACATAATAACCACGATTATTGAGTGAGTTCAGAAAATGGGCCAACAATGTTTATTTTAGTCCTTATTGATTTCTAATGTAATTATGATAGAACAGAGAACAGCAGAGTCGACCATCATTAGTTCAAACAAAAGCGTCATATTTCGATCACGAAACTGGCCTCTTTAAATGAGTAAAAGTTGAAACGATTTCTCGGTCACTTTACATTTGTTGTCATTTCATTCCAACAGAGCTTTACGTTGAAAAGTTTTCATTTAGAAGTCGGCATATTGACAGCTTCCCACCATCCATCCTCGTGTCGGACTTAAAATAAATTTACTGACGTAATGGTTTATTGAAAAGTGTAAAAGAAAATTTTGCTACCTTTTTTTTGCTTTCTGCTTGTTTATAGTGAAGGGGTGAATGGCTTACCGCGCCCGTAACTCAACTATTCTCATATCAACGAACGATGAAAACATATTTTTGTGTTTGTTAAGAATTGACGATTCATCACAAAATTTTCTTAAAGCCATGCAATAGCTCGCAAGTATCTATCCTCAGGCAAAAACTCAGTGTTTAAAGATTGATTTAGCTCTTTTAACGGACGATTGACGATTGTTTTGCTTTTTCCAACTCAAACTGCGAACAGCTGCAAAGTGGACTAGCCTCCTCTATCATCTCCAACTTTTTCGTCTGCCGTGCTCATCGCTCGCAGGGAAAGCATCACAGTCAGGAAGTAGAACTGAAAATATAGAACGCTGACAATGGGGAATTCTTTCGAATCATCGCACGGATTTTTAAAACGTCTTCAAAGAAACATTGTTTTGGAAAACTGATCATATTACCTCGACAGATGTTTATTTTTATGAACTGATATCGGCTGAAGACAGCAGAGCCGTCAGAAGTGATGAATGGTGTAATCGTGAGAGGGGTCAGACAGCACAACATTAAAAATGTGTTCTTAGGTAGTATAAAAAGCATGGCATCTAGATGCAAATATGTTATCTGTTATACTCATTAACATCTTGGAAATGTTTCGATATCGATGAGCACTTCATTGTGAAGCATTTTCGTTAGAAAATCAGTTTCTGTTAAGAGGATACGATTAAACAGCCGCAGATATTCTATTATTAAGGCACTAATTCAATCCGAAACCGAACGCCTTGTGATCTAAGCTGAATTCTTGCTCCAAATACTTTTTTTGTCACAAATCATTGCATCGAAAAATGACAACAGAAAATGAAATGACTGAAACTCAGGAATGCAATAAATAATGATGGAATGGTAGCTACACACGATAGCTTTTGCAGAGACAGATCAAAAACATGAAAGTATGGCAGAAGGGTTCACAAGTGAGGACGGTTCAACGATTGTGTCCAAGAAAATGACTCGTGTGGTTACCACAACGAAGACAGCTGTCGCTGGTTCGTATCTTCGTCTACTTATAATATTTATCATTATCATTCATTCGTTCCATTCCCATTCCTGTTGAACTCGCTTAACAAAACTGCTTCCGCTACATCCAGAAACTCAGAACTAAAGTTCGATTATAAAACGTTCATCAATTCATTTCGAAACAATCATGTCATAAGTTGCAGGTGAACAGAGCAGTGATGCAAAAGCGGCTGGTGAGTAGATGCTTTATGTTGTATAACTGATCACTTTGCTCTTTTTATTAACTCTTGTCACGGGATTAATCTACTGACACAACTAACCAAGTGTTGTCAGATAAAAGCATTTCTCCTGAATGCATGCTGTTTGTAATAAATCGGAAAGGATAGAAAGAATAAGTGCAGTGAACTGGATGCTGCGTACGTGGTACGATTACGTATAATGTTTATCAATGAGACGCAAGCAATCATTTTGGTAATTGCGTTGTCGTTTTATTGGTGCTTATTCAATCCCGTTGATGCAAAATAAATTTTAATCTCAACAAAAACAAAAATTTTTCCTGCTAAAATGATAAAATGATAATTTCAGACGCTCATAGTATTTTTTATGAGTTAATGCCGTTTGGCTGATTCTATAAATTTATTTTTTAATGAACATTTGAAATTCTCATAGTTAGCTACCCTCGTGAGATCATTATTCCTTAATATCGTTTATTTTGCACCAGTGAAAGTCTCTGCATAGTAACAATTCGTTATCTCATTCGTATGGTTCTGTTTTCGTAGCTTGGTTTTATTTAAATATTTTCCATACTCTTTAAACCACTTCAGTTCTTTTTTGTTTTCAGACGATACAGCAACTTATGTTTCACTGCTTCCTTCTTTTTGTGTTCCTGCATTGCTTTCGTTTTTGTTATATGTTTTGCCTTGGCAATAAAGCATATTCGTTGATTTTTGTTATCGTTTTTTGTTGTGATCTGTAAAGAAATTGGGTTCATTTCATTATTGTTGTTGTTTTTTACTTAACTGATTCTGGTGAAACATGCTACATATATGGCATTAATCAGTCTAACCACACAATAATACTCATCACTCACTCACGCACACCCATAAAAAATAGACAACAAATAATCGAAATGACGCTGCGAGTGTGAATGGCGAATTAATGAAGAGATGAGGAATACAACTAAACAAAGCTTACGTCTCCAATAACATCACACTCACTAATCTGGTTATGAATCTTCAAGCCATTATTCCCTAATCATGATAGGCTCGTTATTCTATTCAGGCGATGATCTCATACGACTGAAGGTAAACGAGCAAGTCTATTCAGGAAGTGTAGACCCAACCGATCAACACATTCACCTCGTACCGATCACTAAAAGTGAACAAACCTCGAAACAGCAGCAGTAGAAAGTATGTCGAGGAAATGGTTCGAGGTTGAGCTTGATTTAATCAAACTTCAATGCTACTGACAAAATAAAGTCATAAAGCAACAAAACAAAGTCAACAGCGACATCAATTATTAAGCAACGTCACAATTATTATTTTTATTGTTTATGAAAGGCATTGTTTGATATTTATGTGATCATTTTCACCAGTATCATGACTGTCTTCGCTATTTTCAAGAATATTCAGTTTCGCTGTAATTTTGTTGTGTTGTTTCACCAAACGTAAAGCGCACGAAAATATTCGCTGTGAGCACTTCTTTCTATATCTGATTTTCAGTTTTCCATCTTATTTTTATTTGCTGCACATTTCTCAAATAGTGCTGTTATCATGAATCGCCGCAAAAAAANAAAAAAAGAGAACGGCTTCGAGACATACAAGTGTTTGCGAATTTGTTTTCTCAATCGACTTACTCATTCTGCTGAAAAGTTATCTATTCATTAACTAAGGCATGCTTTTTCAAACTGGAACAGCTGAAGCAATATTCCTTAATTTCGTTTGGAAATCTTTCAGTGAAAGTCATTCGATTCAGATTTTCCACTTCATCTGTATGATCATGCTTGGTGGTCGTGATTTGTCAACTGTTTTCCTCTTTTTTTATATGTTCTGATATTATTACCATAAACAATATTACTATTAACAATGAACATTTGAATAATATTATCATAAGCTGTTATCAAAAGTTTATGAACACATTACGTAGAAGTGCTGTTCCATTCACTGCATCACGGAGGGATGCTGATATACATTGTATTTGAATGACGGGATCGTTTAATTTTGAGTCTTTGGAAGTGTCAGCAAATACAATATTCAGTTTTTTTTCTTTGCTTTCTCGAAATCGAAAGAGATTTCTTTTCCTCGTTGCTTTCTCAATATCATAAAAGACTGAAGCAAATACAGGCCACACTATCACTTGTTATGACACATTTGTGCTGGACTGCAGAGTGCCACTTTACGAAGTAATTTATAGTGGTGAACGCATTCACTGAAACAAGAAAATAATTAAAGCGAAAGATCTGCAATCGACATGGCTGCTAAAGCTGTGGTGAATTCAAAAAAAATAACCCCGTAGCGATGGTCTGTAAAATTCCGAGAATTTCATGTTAGGCTTCACTCAGGACTGAATATTAAAACAAAGGGTATTATTTGAATCGAAAGGCTAAAAAATCGAGGAAAGGCCAAAAAAGAATTAAAGCAGAAAAATACAGCTAATTTCGTAACTATTCTCTTTTTACTGCGATGCACAATACAAATGTAACGTATCGTCAACACTACACATTGGCATTCATTTTTTTATTCAAACACTTCCTTAATTTACGTTTTGTTTGTCGGTTTCTTCAAGATCATTCCAGCCACCATTATTGTGATTCTACCATGTTATTGTCATGAATGTACGAATGAATTTTCAGAGAAGGAAATAAATGTAGTTCATATTTTCATAAAGTTCAAACTCATTATATGAATTTCGTAGGTCAACTAGTGGAACATTTTAAATACTGAAGTTGTGCATACAACCACTTCCATAAGTTTTACCAAACAATTTGTTACCGCAATGGCTCTTGAGTAAAGCTCAGTCCAGTGGAGAAAGAATGCTAGATGTGTTAAGAACCTGTGATCAGGCGGATTAAAACTGCTTGTTATTCAACTGAGGAAGGGAAGTAGATTAGTGAATAAGTGCATTGCTGGAAAATTTGTGATAGCGTAACATTACCAACAATAGCGTGAATTATCACAAATTGACGAACCTCACTGAAAATATCCAGTGAAAACGATCTTTGAATCATCAGGATAAGATATCAGCAAACATAAAATTGGGTATATCGTGAAACTTGACATTCAGCCGTAATTCTGCATCGTCACTGGTTCCAACCAAAATTTGTATTTCTTTATTCCACCCCATGCTTTCCGCAAGAAGTCTATCACTGATCAATGACGATGCCGAAACTGCTTCCATCATATTATCCTGATCAGTTGAACTTGAAAAAAGCAATTATCCAGGAAAATCAAAAATATAGTCAAATATCCAGGGAAGCCAATGTCATCAGTTACCTTGAAGATATTCAGCACTGACTGTGGTCTGTGTTATGGCATGTGCTTAGAATTACTGTCTCCCATGCTCAATCATGACGAATTGCGTTTCGTCAAAATGATCGCATATAAATGCCACTTTGAGACATTGAGAGATTGAGCTAGAACAGCATGTTCAAAGAAGATCAGATGCAAAGTATGATTGTATCGACTAAATCTTATGAAAATCTTTTCCAGAAAATGAATAATTGCTCTGTTCTTTCAGAAGATGAAAAATTGGAATCAAGTGGATCGCTGGGATCAGTCAAAGATCGTATAGCGATATTTGAAATCCTGGGCAAGCCAAGGAAAGTGATTGAACAGTCGCAAGATCAGTCAGTGTCAGAACAACAGCAACAACAACAGAAATTATCAACAGTTGAGATAATTGTGACACCTGTCACGCCGATACCATTCGATGAAAAGGAGAGTGAAGATGATGAAGTGATTACTCCGGGAAGCTCTTCATCAACTACGGGTGAAAAATTTCATATTGAAGGAGATATGGATGAATGTAAGGAATATTCTATTCAACAATCGGTTACCAATACAGTCGCTCAAAAAATTGCTCAATACGGTAATAAAGATATTGATGATCTCTTAAAAGAATCTCAGGAGGTAATCAAGGAACAGCCTACTGGAAATGTTGAATTGAATGAAACGGGTAAAGACAGTGAACAAAGACAACCAATACGTAGAATGGTCGAAGAGTATTCAAGGATGATATCTTATGGAATTGAGCAAAAGGATGGATCAAAAGTACCACCTAAAGAAGAAGGTAGAATTACAAAAATGGAACCAAAGACATCCGAACGGATAACCGAGATATTACCAGAAACAGAAGGTATAGAAGAAAAACGAAAAGAAGCAAAAGCGGACAGCAAAGAACGCAGATTCGTAGAAGGACCCGTACCTGAAGGAAATGAAATAAAACAAGCCTTCGACACTATTACCCACGTTCCAAACGCGGAACTCGAATGGATCACTGATGACAATAGCAGTAGTAAGACTGAAAAGATTACAGAAGACCGCAGGCAGCAAACAGGTGTGGAGAAATATCCAGCGATCAAAGAGATAATTGCAGGAAAACATCCGCAATCTAATGAACCGGAATTGGAACGCAAACTAATAGTGGAGGAAGATTATTCAGAAACGTATGAACGCATAAAGCGACATCCAAAAATAGAAAAAATATCAACGAGCGATTCTTTTTTCGAGATCACCAAGCAATTTACCGATAGGAAAATACATGAACAAAAACCATTTCAATGTGACACAGCTCGATTAGAACCAGAAGAAGGAATAAGAGATTCCCAAATAAATTATACAAAAATATCAGAAATACCTCATGAAAAAATTCGAAAGATCTCAGAAGAGGATGAAGGACAAGAAATTTCTACCTCGAAAAGAGATTCACCACAATCGTTGTACGAAAAAAATCGTTATATAGAAGCAAGCGGCTCACTTCCACCGGTGCAATACGAGTATCATTACGATACTGTGTATGTACCAGCAGAAGATACACAAAAAACAACGAATGAAATGCAACAAAAAGATTACGGAGGAAGAGAGGACCGTACCACCGGAATAATGCTGAAGAGAGATGATGAAATAATTCAAACCACTACAACCTTAATCCCCATCAAAGAATATGAAGACAATCAGCAACGGCTAAAAGAATCACAGCAAGACCTGAAAACAGAAGCAAAAACACAAAAACAAGTCATGAGTTCCAGCACAGCGCATAGCGATGACTGGGGCCATCAACAGCAAGTTGATGAACGAGAAAGATTTGGACACATTCGATACGAACAATATGAAGCAAAATATCAATACAGTAGAACAGAACGCGTGGAAGAGGGAGCATTAAGAATATCAGAAGAATATAAAAATGAACAAAAACGATCGGAACATGGAACATCGTCCACCAACGGAGAAAGAGGGCCTAACTCCTCTCAAGAAAAAATATCCTTGTATGGTTATGAAGCTGAAGACACCACCACTGGAAAAACATTGACGAAAGACGAGAAAATCGATGCCGAAACTGCTTCTTTCGCGCCTTCCGAAGGACATCAATACACCTATGAAATTAGGAAACAGATTGAGCCGACCACAAGCGATGAAGAATTCGGCATAGAAAAAGCATCACAACCACCTACACAGCACGAACCTGACACCTCGACCGAAGCGCAAGTTACAACTCGTCTCCTCAAGCACCAAATAAACAGTGAGAAATTCACTGGAAGGGAGCTGGTGGAAACATCGCATGAATACGCATCCCAGCCGCAGAAGGGAATAATGTCGTTTGTGAAGACACAAATGTCCACACCTCCTCACGACGAGAAGTCAGAATCTGGAGACGTAACTACTAAAGAAACACTACATAGGGAAGAGAAGGTCGCCGATGAACATGCTTCGTCTGCAAATGTGGAAGAATGCAGCTTCGAAACAAAAGAAGAGGTTCATGCGGCCGGAGAAGAACAAGAAAGTCCTGAAGAAAAGGAGCGAACTGCAAGGCAACAAGCTAAATTTGGAAGCCTCGACGATGAAGAATCATACGTGAAGGACTCAACGTTCACCTCAAAAATATTTGGATTCGCAAAGAAAGCGGGTATGGTTTCTGGTGGCGTTGTTGCTGCACCCGTAGCGTTGGCAGCAACGGGGGCTATTGCAGCATACGATGCTGTGTCTAAGCATAAAGGTCAAGAAGCCGGGAAACAAGAATTTTCACCCGACGTGGAAACATCTCTTCATGACCATTCTGAACAACCGACTGGTCAAGCACAGGAACGAGAAGTAGAGGAACGTTCAGTAGAGTCCGAAGACCAGGGGAGAAAAGAGAAAACATTGTTGCATGGGTACGAAGAAGGTGTTACCACTGAACAAGCACCAAAGAA